GAGGGAAGACAGAGGAACTAGGAGGGAAGTGAGAGAGGGAAAAGAAGAGGGGAGGAGCAAGGAGAGAGAGGTGAGAGGGAAGACTTGGGAGGGGGAGAGAAAGGAGAGAGAACACAGAGGAGTCTAGGAGGGAGAGGAGAGAGAGGGAAAACCAAGGAGAGATGAGAGGGAAGAGCCCCGAGAGGAGGGAGAGGAGAAGACAGGGAGGACCAAGGAGAGGGAAAAGAGAAAGGAGAGACAGGAGATGAGACATGGGAGGAGAGAGAAGACAGAGGGACTAGGAGGGAGGGAGGAGACAGGAGAGAGAACCCAGAGGAGGCTAGGAGAAAGGTGAGAAAGAGGGAAAGGAGAGATGAGAGAAGACAGGGAAGACCAAGGAGATGAGGGGAGGAGAAGAGACAGGGAGATTGGGAAGGAAGAGTCCGAGAGAAGAGACAGGGAGATTGGGAAGGAAGAGTCCGAGAGAAGAGGTGACAGGAAAGGGAGAAGGGAGGGCCAAGGAGAGGAGAGAGAGAAGATGAGACACAGAAGGGGGAAGGCAGGGAGGACCTAGGAGAGAGAGAAAGATGAGAGAGAAGACAGAGGAGCCTAGGAGGGAGGAGAGAGAGGGAAGAGCTAGAAAAGAAAGAGGAGGAGATGAGAGGAGGAGACAGGAAAGGAAGATCGAAGACAGGACCAGAGGGAGGAGATGGGAGGAAGGAGAGGGAAAAGAGGAGAGAAGATGAGACAAAGGAAAGAGGGAAGAGTCAGAGAGGGAGAGGAGTGAGAGGGAAGAGAAATAGAGAAGAGAAAGAAAGGAGGAGAGGGATGAGGAAAGAGATAAACAGAAGACTGGGAAGAGAGAGGGGAGAGGAGAGGCTAGAGAGGAGGGCAGAAAGAGAGAAGGGGGGATGGGGTGGAGATGGGAGGAGATAGAGAGGTGAGGAGAGGGAAGAGAGGAAAGAAGGAAGGCATAGCTGATGAATGAGAACAATAAAAGTTGAGTTCTAACAAAATGGTGAAACAAATGATCCATACAACTTGTGTGGAGGGGGATAAGGGGAGGGGGTAACAAGTTAGACAAGAAATGCACTCTTACCTTATGTAACTGTAGCCCCTCTGTACTTCACCTTGACAATAAAATTGAAAACTAATTTTGAGTTCTGTCACCTATATACTATAGGTCAGATGATGTCATTGACAAAATGACGCTGTGAACACACACAGTTTCTATAATCATTACAGACTTTTAAACTCTGGGAAAGTATGTATGCACATATGTTTTTATGTGTCTATCTGCAAAACCAACATTGCTACTTAGATTTCCAATAATAAAAGTACAAATTGGGCACTAATAATTTTTTCTTCAAAGAGCCACCCTGTAGACCTTTTTTTTTTGTTTTACAAAATATGCCTTATAAACTGGGCATGGACAGATTTTGCCCTTTGGCTTTACTCTGCCGACCGTGAGTTAGACCCGCGTGGCACATACCCCGACTGGCTTCAGAACAGCTCTATGACTACCAATCTGCACCTCTTCTTCTTTCTTTTGAGGTGTGGTCTGTGGTCGCGTCTGTAAGGAAAACTTGCACCATCCACGTCATATGATCACACCAAACCACGGAATCAACACGCCAACCAGTCATCCCGCAGGACTGATGTGTTGTACCGTGAACCAAAACAGTGCACTACCTTGGGCGGCCCCCCAGGGAGAGAAGCGTTTGCTCCAGATATTTCTACACCACGACAACAGGGAAAAGGAACACTCAAGCACACAGCCATAGACCCTTCTCCTTCCAAAACAAATTATCCTTGACAAGGAGAAAAGGAAGAGCAAGGAAAGGAATCGTCTAGACTTAGAATGGCACACACCCAGGTTCCAAAAAGCCTACGCTACCAGCTACCATCTCCTGGCTGGATGACCCCGGGGGTGGGGGGGAACGACTCCACCTCCCTCCGCCAACATTGCTGCAAAACAAGTATTCCAGTACCTACCTGGCGCAGGTGTGGAGAGAACTAAGGGAGGATGGGAGCATGCGCGGTAGCATCAGGAGCCAGGTGCACACACCTTCTCAGGCCCCCCCCCCGGGGGGGTACAGTTTTCCATACATTCAGAAAGAACCCAGCCCCCGCCCACCATCAAAAAAAATACAAAACACGTTTCATTTAACCAGCGCCAGAACTTCTGTGGACGATGAGACCAACTGGCTGGCAGAAGTCCACTGCCGGTCCCCATGTCCTGAAACTTTCAGGACACGAGGGGGTGGGTTAGGTCCCCTTCATGATTCTCTCTCCCTTGACAGCTCACACGGTAGGGTGGGGGGTGGGGGTGTCTGGTTTTGCAGGATTGTGCGCATGATCTAGTCTCTCACCACCCCCCCCCGTGAAGATGGGAACTTCCAAGCTCTCGTTCCCGAGACCCACCTGCTCTTCTCAAAGCCCCCCACCATGACTCACTTTCGAATACCGACCCTGCGACGACACACACAAAGCCTGGGCTATGCCTGGGGGACTTCCTGGGAGAGGGGGAGGCGCAGATTGAGCTTTAATTCTTCAATCTGCTCTGGGAATGGAGGCCATTTTCGGTTTTTCCACCCCAACGCCTGTTTTTAAAACAGAGAGAGGGAAACTCCCTTTTCAAAACCAACTTTCGACCCCAGCTCCCTCCGTCTCCAGTACCTCTCATTACAGTCACCCAACAAAGGGCAGTAAAGACTCGCAGAGGGATCATGAGCCATATACTGCCCCCCATTTCCCACAGCGGGGAACCCCACGGGATTGGCGGGTGCCATCAGACTAGCTCGCGGGCTCAACGCATTTTCAGAATCATGTGCAGAGCTGTAACAGAAGGCAGGCAAGCAGCTCTAGCTCTCCACCTTCCCTTGGCATTCCGCCCTCCCCTCCCCTGCCCTGCCCTCCCCTCCCCCTGCCCCAGCCAAGGCCCCCAGTATCGGCCCCTTGTACTCAGTGCTTGCGTGTCTACCCAGCATGGCTTAAATATCGGGGCGTAAGGGTTCTGATGCAGATGGGGTACAGGCAGAGGGTTCTGGATGTTAAGGCATCGGGTTGAACAGACATGCTTCTATGAAAGTCCACCTTACCGAGCGCCATGGGGAGGGGAGGGTGGACGGGAGGGGGGGGGGGGGGGGACGAAGGGAGGAGCGGAAACTCAACATGGCAGGGCGCAAGGCGATGGGGCGGAGATTCATGGCACAAAAACAGAAAGGGAGCCACGGCCGTGGGCTTACTTGCGGAAGTGTATACAAGTGAACTGGGGGTACTGTACATGGAGGATCCCTCCTGGTTGGCCTGGCACAACAGAACCGTGCCTGCGAGAGAGAGAGAGAGACAGAGAGAGACGGAGAGGAGAGAGATGGTATGCTACACCTCCAAGATCACCGCCATGCAAACGAGAAGAGGCAGAGAAATGGAAACACAGCCGTCTCCCACAGCGTGAGACAGAGACACACCCCCTGGGAGACCCCCCCCCCATTTACTTCAGCTCAAGGAACCCAATGCAAAACCACCCTCAGACCCCCCTCCCCCCCCCACACTGAGTTGACATCAGGACTCTCCACTGGGGAATCTGATGGATCCAATATCAAAGCAGCAATGGAAGGGACCAGACACACTCAAGACCCAGACAGTAAGACTGACTCCCGACACGCCTTGGCTGTGTGATCTCGAGAAAGTCACTGTTCCTCTCTGTGCTTCAGTATTTCTCATCTGGAACGCAGGGTCCAGTATACCTACCTCGGACAGATGCGGCCACCCAGCCATGGCTGGCCTGTAATCCTAGGTGATGGAAGGTTGGGAGAAGAGAACTCTCCCCTCGCCCTATCCTCAGGCTTTGGACTTTACACACAGCACCAGTTAGCTCTTCAGGGGAAGAACACCGGGCACGGGCTCGATCCCTGTGACCCACGCTGGACTGACCCCTCCTCACTCACTCTGCCCTGCTTTGAGCCACCCCCCACTCCGAGGAGGAGCTGGGGGGTGGGGGGGTCTGCCATCTTCAGGGTATCAATCCCCTCCCGCTGCTGTCAAGTGCAAACTCAAAAGACTTTTGGAAAGACGACGATGAGGGACTTTTTAGGAGTCTGTGGCTCCTTAGGGATGTGGGAAATGCTTTCACGGGGCTTCTGTTCTCTTCCCAGCCTGCCTCGGATCAATTGCCTCCATTTATTTTGAAATTCCACCATCATCGCTGCTGTGAAGGGGGGGAAAAAGCCTCCCACAGAAAGAAGCCTATCTTCCAAGCACCCCCCCGAGCTCTACAGTCCTTCCGGATCTTCCCCAGGGTCAAGACTGAGGTCAAAATTCTCCCTATGGAGAGACCAGAAGTGACGGTAGTCCAGATGTACCCTGGCCTGCACTCCACCCTTCTCCAGGTACTGAAGGGGTCATCCCACTGGAGGGCCGCTGGGAAGTTCTTCCTCCCATCTATCCACCTCTCCTTGTTCCCTGTGCTGCTCTAGATTTGGTGGTTTCCAGATAAACACAAAGATCTGATGAGCACGGAAATCCCCCTTCCCCTATGGCCGTGTGGCACAGCTCTACCAGGAGAAGACGGACTGTTGCCAACTGTACACCTGTGTATACAGTTGGTCTATATCCTTGCTCTCCTCCTCCCCCTGTGGGTCCTGGAGGTGAGAGTGGCGTCGTGTCATCTCTGATCAAAAGAGTCTGGATGGGCCAGGGCCTGTAATCCTGGCACTTGGGAGGCAGAGGCAGGAGGATTCCAAAGGCTACATCAGGAGACCCCGTCCACCAGCAAAAAAGAAAACAAACAGCAGAGTGTATGGACCTGTGTCAAAATCACGCCCAACCTTTGCTACGGCAGGCGGTAGCTCTTGGTTCACTTTCTATGTCATTCTAGAAATTCCACACAACATGGTCTCACCTCTCCTCAGGGAACATTCTCAGATTTATTTTTTTTGCCAGTCCTGGGGCTTGAACTCAGGGCCTGGGCACTGTCCCTGAGCTTCTTTTGTTCAAGGCTAGCGCTCTACCACTGGAGCCACAGCACCACTCCCTGCCTTTGTCTGTGTATGTGGTACTGAGGAATCGAACCCAGGACCTCATGCATGCTAGGCAAACACTTTACCACTAAGCCAGACTCCCAGCCTGCATTCTCAGAGCTGACAGCGTTGTGGGAATTCAAAGCAAATGAGTCAAGCCCTTCCTTCTCTCCTAACTCTCCAGGAGGAGGTTGGCCACCAGGAAGACAGGCAGTGATGACAAGTACCTTGTGTACCTGCACAGGCCTTCCTGGTGATTTTGCTCAGTGCTGGCCATCTTAGAGAAAGCCAAGCGCCCACAGGGCCTACAGCGAGCAGCCGGAGGGCCCCGACAGGTCCCCCACTGACTGAGCTCCTAGGCATCCTTGGTTAAAGCGCCACTTTTCAAGTGAGATCTGAAGTTCCTCAGGTTGCCTGAATTCCAAAAGGAAAATCATCTAATTGTAGCAAAACAAACAACCCCCCCCCCCACAAAACATCGCTAAGACATTTTGGGTTTGTGTAGCTAAAACACATGGGTCTATTTTCAATATCCTCAATGCAATTTAGAGAGTTTTCCCCAGGAACACCACACAGGTTCTGTCTAGAAAGCTAAACCTTCACCACTCATAATGAAGCCTTTTGCTTTTTCTCCGAATTCTCCTTCTGCTGCAGGTCCTGAGGATCTGGACTGAAATAACCTCTTTGAATGCTCTCTTAGTCTCGTCAAAGAGAGAGAAAAAGAAAAACCCAACTTCATGCAATGATTTTTGACCTTTGTGAAACAAAATCTACGCCTGCCACAAGACTTGGTTTTTATTTTATCTAAAACACATCCTCTAATTTAATTTTCACACTGCCTATCATATGTTCTCTTGGTGTTGTGTGATCTTTTGCTTAAAAGGAAGCTTTTGAATTCTACAGAAACAAAGCATCAGAGAAAAACCCCAGTAATCTCCATGCATTGAAGGCAGGAGCAGATAATGGGTATTTGTTTTCAAAAAGTATGCCAAATAGTGAATAGTGTAGCAGCAGCAGCAGTGCTTATAAAGCAGTGTTTATAGGGCCATTTCGTGCCTTGCTCAACACTGTATATACACAGCCTCCCAATGAATTCCCTGAACAGAATCGTCCATCTTATTCCAATCTTTAACAGAGACCAGCCACCTTCAATCTGTGTGAACCAATGCCTACCATCCTGACTACCTCCTGTAGCATCCATATCTATTCTATGAAAGTCCTTGGAAGCCGGGCGCCGGTGGCCCACGCCTGTAATCCTAGCTACTCAGGAGGCTGAGGATCGCGGTTCAAAACCAGCCCTGGGCAGGAAGTCTGAGAGACTCTTACCTCTAATTAACCACCAAGGAAAAAACACAACAAAAACCCAGAAAACCTGGGATGTAGAGTGGTGGCTCAAAGTGATAGAGCAGTAGCCTTGAGCAAAAGAGCTCAGGGACAGCACCCAGGTCCTGAGTTCAAGCAGCCCCATGACAAAAAGAAGAAGAAAAGAAAAGTCAGTCCTTGGAAACAAAGTCTGGCAAAGGGTTCAGCTCACCCCACCCAATGTGTAGCTAAGACAATTTTGGTATCATCTTTTCCTTGTTCAGAAGCTCCAGACTGGTTCTTCACATAGCTACTGGGGATGCTGTGATTTGATCAGAGTTGGAAAATGGGACGGAAGCTACGTCTTTTTGGTCTTGGCATTAGGCTAAACCCAACGGGAGATGAACTTCTTCCTATTACATGGAGTTTGACTTTCAGAATTGGCTCTTCCTTGTCTCCCTTCCCATAGTTGAAAATGGCCTCCTCGCTTCCCACTCTCAAGGAGGGAATGGGTCTTTCTTCTATTTTTTTTTTAAATCATACTCTTTAGGAAGTCATCATACAGCCTGACAGACAGAACACACACACACACACCTACACACACACTTTTATCCTTAGCACCTAGAAAAATACCTGACCTTGGAGAAATGAATAGATGTAGTTGAATTATAATAGTTTTATTTTTAAAGGAACTATTAAAAAATTGTTTTACCTTAGCATGGTGCTATTTTCCAACCAAGCTTTCTCCAAGGCGCCTTTCTGTGCTCTACCATAACTGGGGAAAATTTGCACACCTCCACACACCAGGTATTGTCTAAGATACTCATTTGCTTTTGCTTTTTTTCCCTGGTCTTCTTAGGATCAACCCATCTGGCTTTACTGGAAGCCTAGGTAGCCTCTTAATCTATTGTCAGGTCCGCCAATGAGCGTCTGGCGCTGCAAGAGAGACCAACCACTACACAGCAAAGAGGATCTGAGCTGGTATAGAGCCTGCAGGGGACCAAGGAGTTTTGCAAGATAACCGCAATCAGGACTCCAGACCCTGCAGCCAGCAAGGGCTGACACATTTGATGAGCATCAAACACGCTTTCTGCTTTCCCAGCAGCTCCTCCTCCTCCCTCTCCCCAAAAACTCTAGGGTCAATCTGACCTCTGAGGGACAAGAAGCCTAGAAGGAAAAAAAAAAAAAAAAAGCATTTCTACCTTCTACTCTACTGCCATCGAGTAGGTAAAGAACCTGGACTCAGACCAGCTCCTCACTGGCTTCTTTTCCCTCTAGGAACTCTCCTCTACATTTCCTTCCCCTTCAGCTCCTAACTTAAAGCACCTCTTCCTTTTGTAGACACTCCTAACTGGAATTGATCAGGTATCCTACCTGACTCTTTCCAGTCAAAAGCTTTATTATCCAGGAGGCAAGTCATTCTAAATGCAAAGCAAACAACTGAGTCCCTAACCCATTATTCCCTTCTTGTCCAAGGCTTTGTTCTAAGGTAGAGTGGCTTTTTGTTTGTTTTTAAGCTTTCAAAACAATTAAAAGCAGAGCTGGGTTTGCTGGTACTGGTCTGTAACCCCACCCCTTAGGAGGGAGGGGTAGGAGGATGCTGGCTGGCCTGAGGGGGTGGGGGAAAGAAGAGATCTTATCTGAAAAACAACTAAAAGCAAAAGGACTTTGGGTGTGCCTCCAGCTGTGGAGTGCTGCCTTCTTTATCAAGTGCTGGGCCTTGAACTCTGAAAATAATAAAGCAGGAAAATGGTCATCCAGGAAAGGCTAAACTGTGAGCCAGTGAAAACAGTCTACTGAAGCTTTCACCTACAAGCTGCTGCTGCTGCTTTTTTAAATCAAGCTATACTTTGGGAAATGGGGGGGGGGCGCGTGGAATACCTCCCTCCCACCGGAGTTTCTCATGATCATCTGCATCTTGAGATGTAGATGAACTCGAAGGCCCCCAAACAAGATCCCTGGGCCCAGCCCAGATCTCCCGATTCCCTGGGTCTGGGTGGAATTGA